TTTATTTATTTATTTATTTATTTATTTAGAGACATGGGAAGGGAGGGAGAAAAAAGAGGGAGAGAAACATCAATGTGAGAGAGAATCATTGATCTCTTGACTCTTGAAAGCGCCCCGACCTAGGACCAAACCCGCAACCCAGGCATGTGCCCTGACTCGGAGTCAAGCCTGCAAGCTTTTGCTTTGTGGGATGATGCCCGAACAGCTGAGCCTCAGCAGTCATGGGGGATTCCTTTTTGCTGTCATTTCCTCCTGCCTACTTGTGCCAGGAGTTGCACGTATTGTCATAGTCATTACTTACCTGAACCATGACCTTTTATTTGACACTCTCTGCACAGTGTGTAGTATTTAAATCTGTTTTTCTTTTTTTTAGCATTGTTGCAATATAAACTTATATATACTAAAGTGTACAATGTGCTGATTTTATTGTGTGTGTGTGTGTGTGTGTGTGTGTGTGTAGTGGAATAATTATCACAGAGAAGTTAGTAAAACATCTATCACCATGTAAAATTACCTTATTATTATTATTTTTTTAATCTTCACCTGAGGATGTATTTCTTTATTGACTTTAGTGAAAGAGGAAGGGACAGAGAGAAACATCAATATGAGAGAAACATCAGTTGGTTACCTTCCATATGTGCCCCAACTAAGGATCAAACACATAGCCTAGGTATGTGCCCTCACTGGGAATCAAAGTTGCAACCTGTGGTGTACAGTACAATGTTCCAACCAACAGAGCCACCTGGCCAGGGCTGTCTTACTATTTTTTTATGCTAGGAGTGCTTATGGTCTACTCTCAGTAAATTTCAAGTATATAACATTATTATCTATAGTCACTAGCTCTTAAATATATCCTCAGAACTCATAAAGAAACATTTGTACTTTTTGACCAAGTTCCCATTTCCCCCTGCACCCCAGATCCTGGCATTCTATTTTTTTTTCTGTTATTATATACATATTTTTTATATTCTGACTGTGGTGTACAAGTGTTTCATTATATCTACACCATCACTCACCAACACTTATTTCCGCTCTTTCGATATTAGCCATCTTACCAGGTGAGAGGTAATGTCATTGTAGTTTGTAGCTTTGATTTGCATTTCTCTGATGATTAGTGACAAAGAATATTTTTTACATATCTGTTTGAGATTTTTAGATTTTTTAAAATATTTTTTAAAATAAAAATTGTATTTTCTTAGAAGCATTTCTAAGAATGTCACAAAATAGCTGCAACTTTGATTTGCTATTATAGAATGGTATTTTGTTAACAAAACAATTATTTCTTATAGGCTGCATCAGAGACCATTAAAGATGAAAAAAGTACCGTCCCCACGTGTAACTAATTAGTGTTGTGTGCCAAGAAAAACCTCCTTTTCATTTCCATGCCAATTTACAACCCCATATTCTATCAGACAAGGATGGTAGCTACTAAAATTGCCACTGCCCTGACCAGTGTGGCTCAGTGGATTGAGCACTTGCTTGTGAACTGAAAGGTTGCAGGTTTGATGCCTGGGTTTTGGGCAAGGTCCCCAGGTGGGGCATTTGAGAGGCAACCAATTGCACATTGGTGTTTCTCTCCTTCTCTTTTGCCCTCCCTTCCCCTCTCTCTAAAAATAAATAAATATAATCTTAAAAAAAAAAAACCCCCACCATAACAGGGCTATCTAAAGGCAGTCAGTAGTGTGTTAACTATATTAAAGAAAGATACTATATAGTGTAAAAAACAAATTTTTCACAGCTTTACATTTCCATTTTTTTTTAAAAGGAGTGAGTTATGTACAAGGGTGTTAAATGCTTCATAGACAAGTAAAATGCACTACAAGAAGCAAGTTATTCACCATTTTCATCATCTTTTTCATGTTCATTATCTGTATCTTCCTTTTCCTCATCATTTTCTTCAACTTTCTCATTTTCATCCTCTTTCTACTTTTTTTTTCTTCTCCTTTTTAGCTTTGGCGACGCCCTTCACACCACTTCAAGCTTTCCTTTAGCTCAGTATTCAGCAATATCCTTTCCATGATTCACTTTTAGCTCAGCATGCTTCGCTTTAATAAGGCGGCTTGCCACCTGTAGCAGTATTATTCCGCATCTCTCCCAGCTGCTCTGCAGCATCACCAATGGACAGGCCGGGATGCTCTCCTTTCACATTGGGTGGTGCTCGACTAAACAAGGTGAAGGTCAAAGGAGGCCTCTTCAGGGCACTGGGTTCCTTCTTTGCCCTGAATTCCTTCTTTGTTTCCCCTTTAGGAGAGATGTGAGTTCTCATTTCTATCTCATAACGGGCCTTGTCCACCTTTGGCATGTCTTCAGATTTCCCTTTCTCTTTGGTGGACACAGTCTTCCACCTCTCTGAGCACTTCTTAGAAAACTCTGAGAAGCTGACCAAAGCATCCGGGTGCTTCCTCTTGTGGTCCTGGTGAGTTCGCACGAAGAAAGCATGTGTTGACATTTTTTCTCTTAGCTTCTTAGGATCCCTTCGCCCACGTTTAATTACTTTCCCTCAGTGAGCACACCGTCGCCCAAGTGCCTGCACGGCTCTCACTTCCCCCGGCACCCTGTCTGTGGAGCTGACGGTCCTGCACTGGCTGTCCATTTCTAGATCTTTGACAAACGTTTATTCAGGTTCTTTGCCTATTTTTTAATTCGGTTATTATTATTATTATTATTATTATTATTATTATTATTTTGCTACTGAGTTGAATGTTGTCTATATCCTCTTTCTTAGGTCTGTGTGTCTATGTGTCTATTTGTGTCTGTTCTGAATACTGCTGTTTTATAATATAGTTTAAATCAAGAAGTGTGATGCCCCTGACTCAACCATTGATCTTCTTGCTCAAAAGTGCTTTGAGTATAAGAGATCATTTGTGGTTTGAATTTTAGGATTCTTTTTCTATTTCTGTAAAAATGCCATTGGATTTTGGCAAAGACTGCATTGAATGGGTTGCTTCAATTAGTACAGATATTTTAACAATAATAATACTTCCAACCTGAAAAGGCAGAGTGTCTTTTATTAATTTATGTCTTCAGTTTCTTTCATCACTGTCTTATAGTTTTTAGAGTACAGATCATTTGCCTCCTTGATAAACTCTATTCCTAAGTATTTTATTGGTTTTAATACTATTGTAAATGAGATTGGTTTCTTAATTTCTTACTGAGATATTTTGTTGTTAGTGTATAGATCAACTGCTTTTTGTATATGGATTATGGGTTCTGCAAATTTGCTGGGCTTGTTTATTCATTCTGGCAGGTTTTTTATGTAGTTTTTTGGATTTTATTTACGTAAGATCATGTCATCTGCTAACACATAAAGTTTTACTTCTTTTTATTTGGATATCTTCATTTCTTTTTATGCCTTATTGTTCAGGCTAAAACTTTCAGTACTCTTTTGAAAAGCCATGGTGAGGGTGTATATCCATCATGTGTTCCTGATCTTAGAGAAAAGTGTTTAACTTGTCACTGTTGAATGTGCTGGTAGCTGTATCTTATCATATACGGTCTTTTTCATATTGAAGTATGCACACCTAATTTTTAAAATTTTTAAATTATTTTAGAGAAAGAGAATGAGAATAAGAAGAAAAGGAAAAGAGAGAGATACCGATTATTGTTCCACCTATTTATGATTTTACTGATTGTTTCTTGTATGTACCTGAACCAGTAATCAAACCCCTACCATTGGTGTATTGGGATGATATTTCAAGCCAACTGACTGCCCGGCCAAAGCCATATTACTTTTTCATTTGTGTGATTATATCTTTTGCTCCACTGTGCTGCAGCAGTATCTTAATTGTAGTGTTGAGCCTTTGCAGGATCGATTTTGTTTGTGGATAGCTGTCTTAATATTTTGTTGTTAGTAATCAAGGCTGGCTTCTTCTACCATCATGCTAATGTGACTCACCTACATCTCATTTTGGGGTCTGTTCTATGCTGACTTGCTTTGGGACAGTGCTGGCCATTCAGTGTTCCTGGTTTTTCCTTTTGTCATTCATGTTCTATGTAGCTGCCCTGCTAGGACTTTCGGGGAAGAGTCCTTTCTGCATGTACCACAGGATGGATCTCTCTCCAATCTAGTCAATGTGGGCCCACAGGGGGTGTGGTCCTTGTGAGTGACAGCTGTAGAGATTGTGAAGTCAGGACCTTGTTCAGATCATACCAGGAACCTGCCTTTGTTCCTCCAGAGTTTTAGTATCATTACCAGTAGCCACACCAATTTCTACTCTTCCTTTTCCAGCTTTGACACTTTGTCGACTTGTCAGCTCTACTCATCACTTCCACTCATGGTTTCCAGCCCAGAGATATTTCCACCTCCATTGATCCCACATTTCACCCTCTCTCTCACCCTTTTTCTGTAGTACTCTTGAAAATTGGCCCTCATTTGTTACACTCTGAGTCGTTCATAAATCTATGTATTGACCTTGTACTGCAGCTTTAAGATTTTATTTTATTTTTAGACAGGGGAGAGGAGGGAGAAAGACAAGGAGAGAAACATCAATGTGTGGTTGCCTCTTGTGCACCCCCACTGGGGACCTGGCCGGCATCCTAGGCATGTGCCCTGACTGGGAATTGAACCAACGACCCTTTGGTTCAGAGACTGGCACTTAATCCACTGAGCCATACCAACCAGGGCAGCAGCTAATATCTTGCAATTGGATGGTATTAGGCTTGCATGTATGCTTCTACCCAGCCTCGCGTCAGCAGCAGAGAAGGATATTAAAAAAACTGTTGGCAGAGGAAGAGCATTGTAAGCTCTACCCCTCTTCCCTGTGTCATGCCCTGTCTGAGTATCCTTCTCCTGGCAGGGTTTCCATTATTTTATGACTTACAAGCCCAGTAACGTACAACAGTAAGCCAGTTTTTCAACTGAACTTTCTTGTTTTGAAAAGGAGTTTATGTATTCATGCCTACATGTGACATATGAATATGTGTGATAGGGTTCTGTCCTTTCTGTAGTCAGCAGGTACTTCTCCAGCATTTATTTATTTATTTTTTTGTTCAGGTTGCTGCTGCGGAGTAGAGGATGTGGAGGCACCCATTGAACAGAACGTTTCTGTACAATTGTCACAGGCAAGGAATCCGAAAGCAGCTATATCTCCCAAGAAGAACCACCCCTGTGAGAGTTGTGGGCCAGTGCTGAAAGACATTTTTAACTTGGTTGAGCAGCTAGGCACACAACAGAGCCCAACAATGCTGAGGTGTGGGGCATGTGCAAAGCGATTTTATTTCAGTGCCAATTGTTACCAACACTGGGATGTGCACATGGGACAGAAACCCTTCAGAAGTAGTGTGGACAGGACCTTGTTTGTGAAGAGCTGCGGAACCCATGTGTCAGGGAACCCCTTTACCTGTGGCGAGGTTGAGATGGACTTCCTGGCCAGCTCTGAACGTCAGCAGCAACAGGACACCCATAATGTGAAGGAGCCAAACACAGGCACCCAGTGGGAAGCAACATTACAAAGCAGAAAAAGTCTTTATACTTTAGGGGAAGGCAAGAAAGCTTTTCACCCCCAACACATACTTGTGAACCAGGCTGTCTGTAACAGAAGACAGTGTTTTGTGTGCAGTGAATGTGGAAAAACATTCAGGTATAAATCCTCATTTGTCATGCACTGCAGAGGCCACACTGGAAACAGTTTCCGTGTGTGTGGTGAAAATGGAAAACCCGTTAGTGAAATCTCAACCCTCCATCAGCTACAAAAAATTCATACTGGAGCAAGACAGTACAAGTGCAGCAAATGTGGAAAATCCTTACGCCACAAATCTGTCATTCACTCACGGAAACGGCACAATGGAGAAAGCAATTACATGTGCAGTGAATGTGCACCATCTTTTAGTCGTAGCTCAGTGTGTAATCAGTCTCAGAGAGTTCACAATGGAGAAAAGCCTTATAAGTGTAACAACTGTGCAAAATCTTTTACCTCTGTTGCCGCTCTCAGTTACCATCAGAGAGTTCACACTGGTGAAAGGCCTTATGGGTGTAGTGAATGTGGGAAATCTTTTATCACTTATATTGCCCTTTGTTATCATCAGAAAGTTCACACTGGAGAAAAGCATTATGACTGCAGTGAGTGTGGGAAATCCTTTAACAATAGGTGGAAACTTGTTCGACACCAGAAAACTCACACAGGAGAAAAGCCTTATGTGTGCAGTATATGTGGCAAATCTTTTACTAATAGCTTTACGCTTAAGTATCATGAGCAAGGCCACCTAGGAAAAAGGCCTTATGAGTGCAGTGAATGTCAGAAATCTTTTACCACTAGCTCTGCCCTTCGATACCATCATAGTGTTCACTCGGGAAAAAGACCTTACGAATGCAGTGAATGTGGGAAATCTTTTATCTCGCGATCTACCTTCCAATATCATCTGAAAACACATTCAGGAGAAAAGCCTTATAAGTGCAGTGAATGTGGGAAATCTTTTACCAGGAACTATGGTCTTCATTGTCATCAGAGTGTTCATACTGGAGAAAAGCCTTATGAGTGCAGTGAATGTGGAAAGTCTTTTACCAGGATCAATGGCCTTCATTGTCATCAGAGAATTCACACTGGAGAAAAGCCTTATGAGTGCAGTCAATGTGGAAAGTCTTTTACCACAAGCAGTAGTCTTGCAAAACATCGGAGAGTTCATCCTGGAGGAAGGCCTTATGAGTGCAGCGAATGTGAGAAATCTTTTGCCAGTAGTGATACCTTCTGTTCTCATCAGAGAGTTCATAAAAGAGAAAAGCCTTTTAAGTGCAGTCAGTGTGGAAAATCTTTTTCCTCTGGTTCTACCCTCCGTTATCATCAGAGAGTTCACACAGGAGAAAGGCCGTATGAGTGCAGTGAATGTGGGAAGTTTTTTATTTATAGTTCCAAACTTCGTTATCATCAGCGACTTCACACAGGAGAAAGGCCTTATAAGTGCAGTGAATGTGGGAAATCTTTTATCTATAGTTCCAAACTGCGTTGTCATCAGCGACTTCACACAGGAGAAAGGCCTTATGAGTGCAGTGAATGTGGGAAATCTTTTATCTATAGTTCCCTATTGCGTTATCATCAGCGAGTTCACACTGGTGAAAGGCCTTATGAATGCAATGAATGTGGGAAAACTTTTATCTCTAGTTCCAAACTTCGTTATCATCAGAGAGTTCACACTAGAAAAAAGCCTTAAATGTTTTGGGAATGGGCAATTTTCTGTTCAGTGTACCAACCCTGGAGGAATCTGAGGAGCCGTCTGTCTGAAATTAAACTCTTACACCTGAATATGCACAGGGAGGGGATTCCCCAGAATTTTCATTCATATGGGTAGCGTATATATAGTTAATATGTTGTGCTTTTTGACTTGCCCATGGCTCTTCCTAGTTTTCTGTTGCAGCTACATTCTGTGTCTATAGTCCTTTCACCTTTACCACAGTGCAGGTCCACAGAGTTTGCATCATTCAACACTCTAATGTGCTCGGGGAAGCTGACCTCTGGTCTCATGTATCTGGTTGAAAATAGAAATGCCTGGAGCCCTCTGGGGGTCAGTTTCCCTTTAAGAATAATTTGGTCATGGACCTGGGTCCATGTGTTGGCCTAGAGAATATGAGTTCTGCACTCAACTTACAGAGAAATGACTACCTGTTTCAGGAATGTGGTCATCTCATGTGATACTTGTGATGAGGTTTTTCAGCTTCCAGATCATGAACTTGGGAAGTGCCTGCTGCACATTACTTTGACTTGTACAAAAATTGAGGCCTTAATCTTTTAATTCCTTTTTATCTTGGTTCTTTTTATTGTACAAGGTAGTTTATAAACTGATTTGGGCTCTGCATGCATGAGGAGGTGAACAACTTTTTTTAAAAAATTTTTTAAATTTACTTTTTAGAGAGGGAAGGAAGGGAAAAAAACTGGAGAGAAATATCAACAGGAGAGAGAAACATTGATCAGTTGCCTCTTGTACAAGCCCCAACCAGCGACTGAACCCACAACCTAAGCATGTGCCCTGACCAAAAATGAAAGCAGCAACTTTTCGATTTGCAGCACAATACCTGACCAACTAAGCCACATTGATCAGAGCATGAGGTCAATCACTTTTTAAGGATCTCAAACTTTGTATACTTGTGGAGTGACTATGATGGCAGAAAATAACTTCCCAGTTTTGAAATTTGCATAGCTGTCCAAAGACTTCTAGAAAGGACTGAAGGGCTTTCTGGTCCTCATTTAGATGCTATGTGTTTTAGGAGTTTTAGAGATGGCCCTGAGGAGAAGGCAGGTATGAGCACTTTAAGTACTTATGAGAGTAGCATGGTTCCCCCACTCCACTGCAAATATCACAGATTATACCAGCACTGTTGACAAGATATCTTCTTTAGGTCTACAGACAGTCATGTACCCTGACATCTAAAATTTTTTGGTTTAGGATCAGTTGTTAAAAGACTGAGTACAGGGACAACAATAGTTGGTGCAGAAACACAAGTATTAGGGATTGGAGGAGACTGCGGTCAGCTATATGGAACATGCCTCTTTTAAATGTGCATCTAGAAATGTTTCTGTGACCATGACTGCATGATGAGTGTACCCAGATCTCAGGAACCCCAGGCATGGTTATTTTGTGTAGCTGAGGCCATTTTCGGGGCGGGGGGACAAATATATATATATATTTTCCTCAAATATATATATATATCTCGAAAGGTTTCCTGGGTTCCTGTTATCTGCCAGTGACGTCTGCCTCAAAGCCATTACTACACAACAAGAAAGAAGAAGAGGGGGGTGTACTTCAGGGATGTAGTTCCCGACACAAGCAGCGTTCTTGTTGACCTAGGTGCAAATGTTCATTACTCACCGTATTTGATGTCAAATTTGAGGCAAAACTGACCCCTTGAGGGCTGGAGGAAAGAAATGGTGGAGACATGGTAGGATGGTCAATCCAATTTTCCAAAGCAATTGGGACTTAAAGTTTGGTTTCTTAATCTTGAGCCATTTTTTAAAACTTCACTACCATTTTGCATGTACTACTTCCATATACTTGAAATGTTCAGTTTGACAAGTTTTGACATAGGTATGAACCTGTGAAACCGTCATCATAGTCCTGATAGTGACCACATCTGTTCTTCATTGCTCACCAGCTGCTACTGAGGCCAAGCAGACCTCCCTAGGACAGAAAAGCTGTGGAGTCAACATAGAGTTAACCATAGCTTATTTTCTGAAAATAGTGGAAAATCAACATTTTATTTTATTTGTGATCCTCACCCAAGGATATGTTTATTGATACTGGAGAGGCAGAGGGGAGAGAGAGAGAGACGTCGATGTGAGAGAGAAATGATAGGTTGCCTCCTGTATGTGCCCCAACTGGGGATTGAACCCACAACCTAGGTATGTACCCTAACTGGTGATTGAACCTGTAACTTTTTGGTGTAGGAGAGGATACTCCAACCAACTGAGCCACCAGCCATGGCTAAGTTTTTTATTCAAAAAATTTCTTAAATCTTTATTAAGGTATAAATTATATGCAAAAAAAATTAAAGTTTACAGTTTGATAAGTATGACCTTGTGTAAGAACCTGTGAACACATCATAACCATAATAATGAACACCCATTAGTTGCATATTTGCCTGTGTCCTTTTTTTTTTTTTTTCCAACCAAGGATATATTTACTGATTTTAGAGAAAGAGAAAGGTAGAGAGTGAGAAAAACATCGATCTTTCACCTCTCAGAGATGCTCTGGCCAGGGATCCAACCCACAACCTATTGGTGTAAGGGATGACACTCCAAATAAGCCATTTATCCAGACCTTTTTTTTTTTTTTTAAGATTTTATTTACTTAGAGAGGGAGAAAAACATCAGTTGGTTGCCTCTCACACACCCCCAACCAGGGACCTGACCCGTAACCCAGGCATGTGCCCTGACTGGGAATTGAACCAGTGACCTTTTGGTTTAGAGGCTGGTGCTCAATCTACTGATCCACACCAGCCAGGACTAGGACCTTTTTTATAATTTCTCTCCATACCCTTCCTGGGCCTCACAGCAGCCACTGATTTACAGTTTTTACAGATTACATTGCATTTTCTAGAATTTTATATGATTGGAATTAAAAAGTATTTTTTTCCCTTACATTCTATCATGCCTCATTTGAGATTCATCTATGATGCCTACATGGGTGCTTTATACTTTTGTTTCTATTATTTTATTCTCTGAATATATAGCACTATCCATTTGTCTGTTTGGGCTATTTTCAGTTTTGGGGCTCTTGCAAATAATGCTGCTCTGAACATTTTTCTTTACAATTCTATATATGGAGAGATCTTTCATTTCTTTTCTGTTATAACTCTTAAAAGTGAAATGCCTAAGTCACAGGGTAGGTGAGGGTTTAACTGTTTTGTTTTTTCGGTAAAGATTTTATTTACCTTTAGAGAGGGGAAGGGAGGGAGAAAGAGGGGAAGAAATATCAATCTGCAAGAGAAACATCAATCGGTTGCCTCATGTGCCCCCAGCCAGGGACCTGGCCTGTATCTGAGGCATGTGCCCTGACTGGGAATTGAACCTGTGACCTTTTGGTTTGTGGGACCATTCCCAGCCCATTGAGCTACACAAGTCAGGGCAGTGTTTAACTTTTTAGGAAGCTGCCAAACCCTGAAATGGTCCTGTTTGCATTTCTACCAGTAGTTTATGAAAGCACCTGTTCTTTTATATTTCTGCCAGTACTTCATATAGTCAGTCTTTAAATTAGCCCTTTCAGTACATTAGTGCCATCTCAGTGTGGTTTTAATCACATTTGTCCAGGGATTTGTAATTTTTGAGCTTTTTTTTTAATCTGTTTATTTGCCACCTGCATAGCTTCTTTAGTACAATTTCTATTCATATCACCTGCCTTTTTTCCTTTCTAATTTATGGCTATTTTCCTTCTCATTTATGAATAATACCCTGAAACAACAGACACATTAAAATTTTACTCATATATAACATCAGCATCATTCTCCTGTGCAGTGCATTGTTTCTAAATTTTCTTATTTTCCTCAAATTGTTGATGTTGTGGAGAATGTCACGGCCACAGGTTTTAGTTTGCATATTAACAATTTCCATCACTTAAGTCCAGGCATCTAGAAATACAGTAAATCTAGACCTGCTTTGTATTGTTTGCTGATCCCCAAAGTGTAAGTTCTCCCACTAAGAAAGTGATGTGCTCAGAGAAGGAGCTGTAAAATTCTACCAAGTCCCATGGTGTTAGGCCAAAAGCTAAACTATATGCCTGCAGGAGGAGACCTTCAAACGCCAGGCAGAGAACACGTGGGGCAGCCAGCTGGCTGGAGGCTACAGAGGCTCCATAGGCTGGAAACTAAGAATCCAAATGTGCCAGGATGGAGGGAGCATTTGAACACGTGGGGTCTTGGAGATGATGCTGAGTGGCCTCACTTAAGTGTCAGAGCATACACACTTTGTTCTAAGTTCCTCCCTTTGACACCACCCATATCTTTTTTTTAACTTAATTTTTTTATCCTCACCTGAGGACATTTTGTCATCGATTTTTGAGAGAGATGCAGGAAGAGAGAACTATTGATACAAGAAAAAAGCACCTATTGGCTGCCCTCTGTTCACACCTGGACAGGATTGTATTTGCCAAGAAGGGGAAACAAACCAACAACCCAGGCATGTGCTCTGAGTGGGAATCGAACTCCCAATCTTTTGTCTACAGAAAGACACTCCAATCAACTAAACCAAACCAGCCAGAGCCCCACCCATACCTTTTAAGAAGTTCTCACCTTCTGAATACTCCAAGTGATTTTCCTCTTTCCCTTTCTGTAATTGTTGGTCTCCAACAGCTATTTACCTTCCATACATTTCACCACCGCTTTTCTATGCCCTGATCCCAGGAATATGCTCTGGGCACTGGGCTCATTCTAGTCTCATCCTCAGTGGGGCCTCTGACGAGAGCAGGCCCTGGAGCAGCTGAGTGGACCAACCTCTGGGCACCGAATGTTAGCTTGGTCCACACCAGGCTTTCCCTGTTTTCTCATCCCTGAGGGCACCTGTACCTAGTAAGTCCCTTTTTTGTGGATGTAGATACTTAAAGTCACAGTACCATGTCTTATCTGAGACCACATCTTGAAAGAGACAACGAGAGAGAGAGCCAGCCAGGCGGTGGTTAGGGTGGCAAATGCTGGGAGACCATAGTGCAAGTTGAGAGACCCACTCTTTCTGTGATACAAGGTTTGCTGAATTCTGGAGACCCAAGTGGACACCGAAAGGGAGCTGAT